GCAACTGGTTTTTACTCTGCGTGGCACCCAGTTTTGCATATTTCTCCTACCAACAAAGCAAACGTTGGCTGCTTGCACTCAGCAGAGATACACACACACACACACACAACACAATCCAGAAGCATCCGTCTTTCCGTGTTTCCCTTTTCATTGCACCTAGACATGTGAAGGATGGGAAAGGAACAGCTTAACCCTTCCTGAGCCCAATTTCGGCAGATCCCCTAGAGAACGGAAGCTGTGCTTTATGCCAGTGTTGACAAAGAAGATGTGTGATCCTTAACCTTCGTTGAGATCCTAAGAGCTGGAGACCCATCTGAACATTAGGAAGCTAGGAAACGGACGGGATGCGTGAATGGAAACCTTCCTGGACAAAGGGAGACAACAGTGGTGAGAAGTAGAGATGGTCTCCACCGCGAGTGTAACTCTTCCAGGAAAGAGAGGCAGGTCAAGACCAGTGTTCCCTTTAAGCTGAGTTAGTGTGAGCCAGCTCACAGTTTTTTAACCTCCAGCTCACACACTTTTGCCTTGGCTCAGGAAGGAGGGCTCCAGAGCTAACTGATTTATGCAGTAGCCCAGTCACTGGCTCACAACTTTAAACCCAGTAACTCACAAAGCAGAATTTTTGCTCACAAGACTCCACAGCTTAGAGGGAACATTGGTCAAGACCTGTTGAACTGGCAAACTTCAGTTTGGGGGGGTGGGGTGCTCAGAAGGGCTAGCAATGCACAAAGCCTCAAAAGACTGGCCAATCAGTGACTACTATTTAACCTGTCCCAGCAGTCTGAACAGTCTCCTCTTTGAGACTGTCGTCAGTGACCTGGTGTGACTGAACAAAACATGCGTCCCCACCCAGCTCTGAGCATCTGATAACGGAGAGGTACAAACAGTGCCAAAAATTAAAACTGAGAATAGATAAAAGAAATGGGCTTGAAAGAACCCATGATGGAAGCAGGTTTTTTTTTTTTTTTAACTGTCAGTTTAGGTCAACCCAACATTTTCCAAACATTTCCCGCTCATCTGCGTATCGGCCACATCTCCAGTTTAAAAATGGATTCTCTCAACATGCCAGTGGCTTTTGCAGAAAGATGCTTTTCCCTGTCACAGTTTACAGTGGCAGGCGTTCCCCTCTCTTTATAGCCGTTCCTTGATCCTTTAGGCATCATTTTGAATGAATAAGCTAAACTCTTTTGAGCCAAACATTAAGAGAATGGGATTGTTTCAAAGCCTAGGAAAAGGAAAATGGGAAGCTATGTCGCAGAGCCATCGACGACATGGCATGCAGCACAACTTTCTTCCCCTCCAGCAGAGGAAGGAAGCGATTCTTCTTCCTTACATCACTAGTACAGAGCCAAAGGGCAACTTTATAATTTCTGTGAAATCTGTTTTGGGGCTTTTTTGCTGTTTGCAAGAACCGATGATTGCAGTAAAAAAGAAGAAGAGGAGGTTGGATTTATACCCCACCCTTCACTACCCAGAGGTGTCTCAGAG